AGCACGTTGATGGATTCACTATTTCGAGACTTATTGTTGAGAAAACCGCAAGCTGCAGACGAGTACATAGCTTACCTAAAAACTACTAGAGATTATGACGAGTTAACGACCACATTGTTGTAAGTCATTTCAAAATACCAGGGTCTTCAGTAGGTTCTGACATCGATTTTTTTGCGTTTAGCGCCCTTGGGAGGAACGCCGATGCAGCTATGGTTGAGTTCTCTGCAGCAATTCGGAATCAGGTTTCCGAACAAAAGGTTTGTTTTGTCGAAGTTTTCAGAAAGCTCTCTAGAGGAGATAAGTTTAAAGGCTTCAGGTACAAGCCTTGAAGAAGTGCGTACGAAGTGGCTTCAGTGATCCTCTGTTGGCAGCGGATGCAAACGTTGTTAGTGATTATATCAGCCTGTTAGAGCGGCAGATGCCAATTAATGTGAGTTTTACATTCGTCCCAAGTGTGCTGGTTTTGTCTTTTTTCTACGAAACCATCCACGTGGCTCGACCGTCGTGCGTAATTATTGTCGTCAAGAGTGCCGACGATCAAAGCAAAAGTACCATCTTCACGACTTTCCCGAAGAATGCATCTCTTGTTGGAAAGTCGGTCATTGCTACGTACTACTACTGCTGCTTGTACCATTACGACGAACCATTGGTTTGTGCTTAAAATTTCCAGTGATGTTTTTCATAAGTTTACAACTCCTATACTCAATATTTTCCTTTGCAACAATTGATTTCTCGGCAGCATTACTTGTGATACGTGAAATATTTCGCTGCTCATCCTCTATTTTTTTCTTTTGATTCAAATTTTTCGCTTCCAATCCTCTTATTTCATTCGCTGGTACCATTGCTATTACATTGTCGCTTATAAAAAGTATTGTCTTTAAGATTGAAAGCCCATTTTCCTTACTTTTTTTCTCGGAGCTATGCTCTTAGGTCCTTGCTGTTTAAGTGAGAAATTGGGAGGTCTTTTTTATGAGAAGCGACCGGAAATGACCGCTCGATTATCTTTATATTTTGCAGTATTCCCTCTCAAGCCCATCCTGTATTCAAACTATGTTTCGATTGACAGACAAGGAATCGGTTTGGATCAATGTGAGCGCGTTGGCAAAACAGAGCAGGTTTGTTTATCTGAGCAGTCGCTTGTATCACACCCCCATGCCTTATCTTTACTGTTCAGATGGCCTGACATTGAACGAGTTCTCCAACCGAAGTCTCTTCTCGGTGCCATACAAAGTAGAGGTGAATCCCAGTTTATGGTTAAGGTTTTGCATCGTTACATTATATCTTCAATGGAAGTACTTCTTTTACTTTTCTCCAAATGAATCAGAAGGCTGCGGAAGCCCACCTTTCTTCCTATTAGTCATCCCTTTTTCCTTTCCCAATTCCTTTTCTCCTTGCTCTAACTTTCCTGGTGATGAAAGTTTTGTATTCTTCTGGTCCGAATTGATTCTGGCTTACCGCTGTCAAAGTTCTGCATTCATGCGCGTTCGAAATTTCAGCAACATTGAATTCGCCGAAGCTGTTTTGTCCGTTTAGTTGGCAGAATCTGTTTCACATTCTGTACTTCAACTCGACAGCGCCACCAAAAGATGTGAGTCTAATTTTGACTGTGCAGCCCTCCGATTCCTTTAGCCCCTAATCATATTGTTTCCAGTTATCGTGTCGAATACTGCGTGCTGTAAGCGATTCTGATCAACGGCTGAAACTCGCTGAAAAGTACGATGTGTGTGAGGTTGGATAAATCACCATGCGCTATCGATTGATTTCTTTTTTCTCGTGACTTTTTAGTCTAAAAACATGAAAGTGATCATGGATATAATCCTACACAACTTTTCGTTCCTACTATGGTTGAGTCTTTATGTCACTTTTACTTTAGATTGTCATCGAGTGTTTGGTAGCGCAAAGGGATCGTACGAGATTGTCAGCGTATGCTAGTAAACTCACGCCTCATACTCCTGATGCGTACAAGGCATTAGCTGCTTTGAATAGTACGGTAAGTTAACAGCTTTTTGTGGAGTTCATTTCCTAATTCGATTACAGCCAATATTTCAGGGTACCAAATGGAAAAACTAGGAGATCTACTACTACATAGAAGTATTTGTTGTTCGTTGGATAGGTGCATTTGCTTTTTGCTGAACCCCTCCTTCTTGGTTCTTCGACTTCACTATCACTTCATGACCACATCGATCTTTCCAAATGTGATCACAACTGTCACTTTGCACTATTGTTCTTTACAATTTTTTTATTGATCATGTCTCATTCCTTGCTTTCTGTCAGTAGTTGCGCATAATCAGTGATTAAGAGTGGCTGCAGTAAGTAGTATAGTATACTCATTGAAATCAGTCACTCTATTTGACCATGTCATTCGTAAGCAAAGGTTGCGAACGTTTCTTCAAAGATTTTCTCAGGTATCTCTTTTGTTCTTTACCAGAGAAAGCCAGCCAGCCAAGTGTATGGTCTTTAGGCACAATATTTCGCCATAATAACATAATATTCACATAGTAGTCTGTTGTACATAATACTTATGTATAATATTTGTGTCATCTCTTAACTTTTGCTTAGGAGCTGTGATATGCTTTGAGTAATACGTCATAATTAGCAGTTAGTCAGATCTCTTCCTAGTCGTACGGAATGCACTGAAAGTTCAAACAGTTGTCCCCCTTTCATGACCAGTCGCTACGTTCCGATCAATGTATAGCCGATGAACTCACACACGTTTTATGATGTGCACTTATGAATTAATTATTATTAAAGTTCTATTTATTTCCAGCTGCTTGGTGTTGAACCCTGGTTCTGAATAGCATTTGTTCAATTCATGTATACCTGAATCTCCCTTGCTATTTTATGCAGTTTTTGCAGTATTTTAATTAAAACTGCCTGGCAGCTGGCAGTGACAGTAGCTAGATGTCACTGATTAAATTTCGTTATAAAAAGGTCATTCAGTTTCCAAGAAGTAATCACGATAATGTCATTTTTGAGTGTTTTTTTTTTTGTGAGATCGTTCGATTATTGATAGCTTATAACTGATTCTCCCATCTTTAAGCATGCGTTGGAGTTTAGCACAAAACGCAGAATATGACTTTTTCATAGCGTAGTCGGGGCTGTCATAAGAGTCGTTTTGAGCTGTTTGGCTCATGTGGTACTGGGTTAATGATCACTTTCGTTTTGGTCGTAGGCTTCGTGTGTTTTCGTAGATCCACCTCTACTTCATAGTCCAATTTTCTTGGTTTTGAGGGATTCAACTTTTATATAATGATTTTACATTGAACTGGGACCATAACTGTGGGAAAGGTGCTTGAGAAGCAACTTCTTCATAGAAATCTGCCGTTGTAACTGTTCTCGTCCTGGTTTTTCGGTGATAGACAAGATCAGATTTCGCCAATTTAATATCGTGCCATTTGATCATTCCCCCCAAATTGGTCTCTTTTTGGCTGTTATTGTTCATCCTTTATCTTCTTTTCGAGTATTTTCGCCCACACTCATTTTCCTTCAGATAATCAAACATTGATTCCCCAATCTGGAGCAGTGTCTTCCAATGCTCTATCTCTTTTTGTTCTATTACCTCCATCATGACAATCTTTTCTTGCTGTTCAATCTCCTTGACCACGAAGAAACTAATTCTCATGGCCACTCTCAATTGCCGTAGACGCAATTTGTGAAATTATAATCGTTTTCTCAAACTTTGAGAAAGGAAGCGGTTGAGTGCCCTCAGTCGTCCGGCTTGGATTCTCCTTTGCATCTCTTCGGTAGTGTCCGTATCCAATGAAGGTGCTAAATGAAACTATATGAAAGTTGTGCTGTACGGCTCATCAGGTCCATCCATAGTAGGGGATCGGATCACGGAGTTGGATGTGGTTGAGGTTCTAGGGAAGTTGTATTCTAGCTTAATATCTGAACTTGCCGCCGAACATCAGGCACGGAAATTTAGGAGAAGCGCATGATTTCACACTGCTTTATCGCTAAATACAAGAGCGCAGGACTGTCACTGGCAATATGCTTTATTTCACGAAGCAGACTTACTTTGAAACATCCCAGTCCAGTTATGGCGCATTATAAAGAAAACGTCTGGCAAACCTAGGGGGTAGACAGGTCGCGTTATGACCAGATCTTCGAGCCACCTGGATTACAGTAAGAACGGGTGTCATTTTGTGCATTACCTCAAAAAGTCGGAAGCCATTGTGTCAAAATAGCACATCATCTGCATGGCCTAGATGGCTTCGATGGCAACCACTCACCTTGATTCCTTCATCACCCTAATCTATGCTCAGGAAGGACTTTATCAGGCCAGTAACAACAGAAAGGATAGGATCACTTTAACGGATATCGGAGTTTAAATGATACACGAACACTTTTTTAATATTCACATGGGGAGAGGGGGGGGGGGGAGTTATGATCGGAAGGAAACGGATATCTTCCCACGAAATGGTGAATGCTTCGGCCTATAGCGACTTCCAAAGTTCTTCATGTTCTGGGTAAGATGACGTCATTTGACCGACGAGGGCAAATCAGAAAAGAGTCTTGTAGTCATTGCTTTTCGCCATGAGTTTGGCGGCACTGGTGTAAACATCTGTTGCAAAACTTTTCCAAAAGCCATCTTGTAAACCGGCTGGTTGTTTTCTAGCGACCTTGCCATCCGTTGCCGGACGACAGAAATAAACAGTTTGTAGTTGACGTACAGTAAGTGCAAAAGTTCCGAACGTAAATGATTACGATAGAGGGTCAAATTCATTGTTTACTATGCCGTATAGTTGGAAGTGCAATCCCATCTATCGATTGATCTATCACCAAATTGGGAAATATAAACGATACTTTCTGAAGAAGTACTGCCACTGCTGCACATTGTTCAGCATGGCTAACATGATGGACATTACAGGGAATACGTCAAAGGCTGGCACCATGAAGCTTGAGCTTTCACTGGTCGAAAACGCAGGCTCAACCTTTTGCCTATTTGAGATCACTCCTGAAATGCTTGCTTTCGAGTCTAATTGGTACTTTCCGCTTTGTCGTATAAGCGCCGTCATTCTTTATGAAATTTCCGCTAAAAGTTTGATCCCTTCACTGCAGAATTCACTGGGCAGTTCAGTGTCAGTTCGGAAATCAGTGTGGAAATTTGAATGTAGCATGGGGGAGTAGTGGAGTGGGAAGGAAATGGCCTTCCATATAAGCACGACTTAGCTTGCCGAACAGAAGCTAATTAAGTTGTCTAGAATTGAAAATGTCATATGCTGGCTTAATTGTCGTAATCTCGGTTTGGAAATTTGTCACGCTACACCGTCCCTGTCTAACAGCCACGGATGTGCAAGATATTTCTTGAATTGACTGTAGAAATTATACTGCCGATTAGTGCATTATTTTCTTAAACCTTTTACCTACTTCTGCACCTAATGCTGCATCTTGAGACTTCAAAATTTCATAGCAATTGTTGGTCTACTGTTACAGGAATGCTCTCCGGTTTGGCATTCTATCCGTCATTAGGTTATAACCTACTCCGTAACTACTTGCAACCACACAAATGGACATGGTATAATAGAGTAGATGACACATTACTGGTGGGAGCGTTACCTTTCAAGTCTATGCAGGAAGAACTCATACAAGTAAGTTGTATGATTACTGATCTATAAGTGATACGAATTTCCGAATTGACATCTTAATCACATTTTCTGGTATTTTAGAAGGAAAACGTTGGTGGCGTCGTGTGTTGCGTTGAAGATTTCGAGTTAAAGTATGCTTATAATGCTATACAAAAGGAGGTAAGTGGTTAGAAAATTCTTGAGTCAGGAATAGTGGAAGGATTGCATTAAAGCTCCTACGCTTTTGATTCAATGACTCATTTCCATGTTAATGAGATCAGTCTGACTGAAAGTTTTAATGCTCTTTTTTTGTTTCGCTTCCTTTATTTCCTGGTCCCTTTTTTGACGGCGGTAGATTAACGCAGCATGAAAAGTTGATTGTTTGAGGACTGGAAAGCTGCCGGTGTAGAAGTGCATGACATTCCGATGACTGATTTCTTTGGTTCTGCCGGTAGAGCCCAGGTTGATTCCGCAGTGCAGTTCATTGACTCAGTAGCCTCTAGAGGAAAATCCGTTTATGTGCACTGTAAGGTAAAATTTCTGGAATTTATTTTTTTGCTTGCTAACTGCACAAGTGGATCTGTAAGAAGGCGACTGTGATTCATCGTCGAAAGCATATTTCAGGCTGGAAGAACTCGTAGCGCAACTGTCGCCGTATGTTATTTGATGAAA